AAACCCGGCTGGAGGCTGGCGGCTGTCTCTTGGAGTGGTCATTAGTGGTGTTTGCAGATCACCAAAACAAAGCGTCAATACCCATGTCACGTCGCCTCGACCTGAATGCGTTCAGCAGCTGTGTCTCGTCTGCTCCCTCCTGATGCCCTCTTGCTTACACGTGTACAGCATATATAGATAGATGTCTCTCTCTCTCTCTTAGGGATCAATACTATATTTAACACCAGTAATCTATAGTTGTATTAGGTTTTATTGTTATAGAAATATATTTTCGCTGTTTTTTTGTTTTAATCGCTGAGGCAACTTTAGAAGGAGAGTTGGTGTTGGCAGTGTTTAGATTTTCTGTCTAGGATGCTTGGAGGATATTGTCTAGGATGCTGAGAGGGGCATAGGAAGTTTAGATTAGGATTTAAACGTTGATTTTTATTTTGCGGGACGGAGATGTGTGTGTGTGTGTGTGTGTGTGTGTGTGTGTGTGTGTGTGTGTGTGTGTGTGTGTGTGCTTACCTTATAGTGCTGATGGGGATGGAGACATAACTCTTGCGCCTGTTTCTTCTCCATTGAGTATTTAGTTTAGTTTGAGTCTATTTTTTCCCACACCTGCTCTGGAATTTTTGGGTAGCATGTTCTTGTATCATGTCATTGTCCAGTCTATTCCATGTACAAGTTAATTGAGATAAAACACATCCCAAAATGCTTGAAAGTTTAGGCTAGTTCTATATTCTGTTACAATTCCATCAAGTGACTTATAAATCTATACAATACTCATAAAATAATTGCATCGTACCTATTAAATGCATTTACAATAATCATTAGTTATCACAAACGACCTGCGTGAAGCGAGACCGTCGCTCTACCGTCCAGGCCAAGTGGTTGGGCAGCATTCTGAATGAATCCTTATTTAGGTTCCTGAAAGATATTCTTGTATTCTGCTGTTGATATGTACTTTTTTTGGTGAGAAGCTTCAAAACCTTTCCCAGATCTGTGTTCTCTAGCTGCCTCTTAATCTATAATGCTCCATTGTACTGCACTCTCTCTCTCTCTCTCTTATCCAGTCTTAAAATCTTGCACATGTTGAGATTAAAATCGAAAAGCCATTTGACTGACCACTTTTGTAGCTTGAGTATTCTAGCTGTCTTTTGCTGCTTCATCCGCACTAATGTACTGAAACAATCCTCTTTCACTGATTGTCGTTACCGTGAAAGTTTACACCAGCCGACATGTCGAGCACGGAGTCGATCGGCCGAGCGGACAGCACGCTGGACTTGTGATCCTGTGGTCCTGGGTTCGATCCCAGGCGCCGGCGAGAAACAATGGGCAGAGTTTCTTTCACCCTATGCCCCTGTTACCTAGCAGTAAATAGGTACCTGGGTGTTAGTCAGCTGTCACGGGCTGCTTCCTGGGGGTGGAGGCCTGGTCGAGGACCGGGCCGCGGGGACACTAAAAAGCCCCGAAATCATCTCAAGATAACCTCAAGATAAGATGTCTCTCTGTCTGATCAAGACTTGACAGTCATGTGACTTGCTGTCACCTGGAAGACGAAGTGACATCCAGGTGTAGGCGGCCACCTTTCCATTTTGTTTTTACCCCGACATCAGAGATAGATTCTTTGGTCAAACTATTAAAGTTAGAGGGGCCGGATGCAATCAGGAGAGAGCAGGATTTTCTTCCAAGAAAGGGCAGGATTGGCCCTCACGGACAAAGACCGATAATCTTGTTCCGAGAGTCACAGAAGTGATTAGAAATATATTTAGACGGGCCGTGTAGGTCGGTGCCTTGTCTAACCAGACACAGCTGGTGGCCATAAAGACTGCCTCCCTATAAAATTGAAAGGTTATACGATTGACGACGCAGTTAAGTTTTGCATCATGTGGAACTTGTGTCAATGATACATCGCGAGTGCTTGGAACTCTAGATTTTCTTAGGGAGAACATATATAAGGTGAGGGGGAAGGGAAGGGAACTACCAGGGGGGAAAGCGACAAGCCTCTATGACTATGTAGCACTGGGAAGGGTCAGGATAAGGATTTGGGATGGGACAGGGGGGAAGGAATGGTGCCCAACCACTTGTGGACGGTCGGGGATTGAACGCCGACCTGCATGAAGCAAGACCGTCGCTCTACCGGCCAGCCCAAGTGGTTGGACTTCTTAGGGAGAAGAGGAAGTTAATTTCCTCTCAGCTAAGAATGGAACCAAGGAGCGCATTCTCTCCTTGAATCAGCGGACCAGCGCAAGATATAGAATCCAAATGGATAGCATCAAGAATTTTCCCTCCAGCATCTACAAAGTAAAATTTTAAACACACACACACACACACACACACACACAAGGGGACACAGGTGGAAACTGAGTGCCCAAATGAGCCACAGAGATATTAGAAAGAACTTTTTTAGTGTCAGAGTGGTTGACAAATGGAATGCATTAGGAAGTGATTTGGTGGAGGCTGACTCCATACACAGTTTCAAGTGTAGATATGACAGAGCCCGATAGGCTCATGAATCTGTACACCTGTTGATTGACGGTTGAGAGGCGGGACCAAAGAGCCAGAGCTCAACCCCCGCAAACACAACTAGGTGAGTACTAGGTGAGTACACACACACACACACACACACACACACACACACACACACACACACACACACATACACACACACACACACACACACACATACACCAGTGGAGTCCACGCTGAGACGCAGAGGCGTCACCAGTGGAGTCACCAGTGGAGTCCCGCAGGGGTCAGTCCTTGGACCCGTACTGTTTCTTATATATGTAAATGATCTCCCAGAGGGTATAGAATCATTCCTCTCATTGTTTGCTGATGATGCAAAAAAATTAGAGGAGGATTAAGACGGAGGAAGATAGAATGAGGCTACAAGATGACCTAGACAGACTGAATGAATGGTCCAACAAATGGCTACTAAAGTTCAACCCGAGTAAATGTAAGGTAATGAAATTAGGGAGTGGAAACAGGAGGCCAGACACAGGATACAGAATAGGAGATGAAGTCCTTTGTGAAACGGACAGAGAGAGAAAGATCTAGGAGTTGATATCACACCAAACCTGTCTCCTGAAGCCCACATCAAAAGAATAACATCGGCGGCGTATGCAAGGCTGGCTAACATCAGAACTGCCTTCAGGAACCTGTGTAAGGAATCATTCAGAACCTTGTATACCACATATGTAAGACCAATCCTGGAGTATGCGGCCCCAGCATGGAGCCCGTACCTTGTCAAGCACAAGACGAAGCTTGAAAAAGTTCAGAGGTATGCCACTAGACTAGTCCCAGAACTAAGAGGCATGAGTTATGAGGAAAGGCTGCGTGAAATGCACCTCACGACACTGGAAGACAGAAGAGTAAGGGGGAGACATGATCACTACCTACAAAATTCTTAGGGGAATTGACAGGATAGTTAAGGATAAACTGTTTAACACTGGTGGTACGCAAACAAAGGGACACAGGTGGAAACTGATTACCCAAATGAGCCACAGGGATGTTAGAAAGAACTTTTTCAGTGTCAGAGTAGTTAACAAATGGAATGCATTAGGCAGTGATGTGGTGGAGGCTGACTCCATACACAGTTTCAAATGTAGATATGATAGAGCCCAGTAGGCTCAGGAACCTGTACACCAGTTGATTGACGGTTGAGAGGCGGGACCAAAGAGCTAGAGCTCAACCCCCGCAAGCACAACTAGGTGAGTATACACACACACACACACACACACACACACACACACACACACACACACACACACACACACACACACACACACACACACACACACTCACACACACACACACACACTCACACACACACACACACACACACACACACACACACACAAAGCGTTATATGACAAAGAGTGCTGGGAAGACGGGACACCACGAGCGTAGCTCTCATCCTGTAACTACACTTAGGTAATTACACACACACACACACACACACACACACACACACACACACACACACACACACACACACACACACACACACACACACACAGTACAGGATGAAGAGAAGGTAACTTCCAACTTTCGAAAAAAGATGTTTTGGAGATCTAACACCAGAGGCGCACATCAGCAGAATAACGAGGGCAGCATATGCCATATTGGCAAAACGTCCAATTATCCTTCAGCAACTTGACCAAAAATCCCTTCCGACCGCAGCATACGTCCTTTGTGAGACCTACTATGGAGTATGCTGCTCTGGCAAGGAGCATACCCAATAAGGTATACTCCTTAAGTTTTGTTTTACCTAAAGAAACACAAATCAAAACCTGAAAAGGTTCAAAAATTTGCAACAAGGTTCGTTCCTGATCTAAGAGGACTGAAGAAAGACTGAGGGGAACTTACTGGAGGAAAGAACGAGTAGAGAAGACATGACAATGACGTACAAGATACTAAAGGGGGTTATTTACAAAGTAGATATAAAAGCAATATTCAAATTTAGGAACAATAGACTAAGAAGACATAAATAGAAACTGGAAACCACAGATGAATCACAGGGACGTCTGAAAGAACTTTTTCAGTCTAGTCGTAAATAAGTGGAACGTTCTGAATTAGAAAGTTGTTGAAACCAATTCGATACACTACTTTAAATGTCAATATGATCAGAAAAATAAGGAAAATTAGTCACTACGCTGAATTAATGATGGTCAACAGGCCATCAGAGCAGGTGCTCGATCCTGCAAACACAACTCTGGCTCAGGTCATTCATGGAAATAATAAAAATTACAATAATAATTAATAATAATAACAGATATATGGTTAAGTAGGATAAGCTGCAGTTGTTTATTTTGCCTAGTGTCTACGTCAGTAAACTATTGTATACAAATATAATTCCAATGTTTTATTAATTTTAGGAAATCAATATTGTTAGTGTTAATTACCAGTGATATTAAATTAGCTGGACATTTATATTTCTTCCTGATTAAATATGTGTATGTGTATATGTATGTTTTTTATCAGTATTAGCTAATATATTTTCTTTTATGTTTCAGGGCACGACAACGACGGTAAGTACCCGTCATTGAAGTGGGTTCTAATCTTGCTGTGTGACCGTCATTGTGGTGGGTTCTAATCTTGCTGTGTGCCCGTCATTGTGGCGGGTTCTAATCTTGCTGTGTGACCGTCATTGTGGCGGGTTCTAATCTTGCTGTGTGCCCGTCATTGTGGCGGGTTCTAATCTTGCTGTGTGCCCGTCATTGTGGCGGGTTCTAATCTTGCTGTGTGACCGTCATTGAAGTGGGTTCTAATCTTGCTGTGTGCCCGTCATTGTGGCGGGTTCTAATCTTGCTGTGTGACCGTCATTGAAGTGGGTTCTAATCTTGCTGTGTGCCCGTCATTGTGGCGGGTTCTAATCTTGCTGTGTGCCCGTCATTGTGGCGGGTTCTAATCTTGCTGTGTGCCCGTCATTGAAGTGGGTTCTAATCTTGCTGTGTGCCCGTCATTGTGGCGGGTTCTAATCTTGCTGTGTGACCGTCATTGAAGTGGGTTCTAATCTTGCTGTGTGCCCGTCATTGTGGCGGGTTCTAATCTTGCTGTGTGACCGTCATTGAAGTGGGTTCTAATCTTGCTGTGTGCCCGTCATTGTGGCGGGTTCTAATCTTGTGTGTGCCCGTCATTGTGGCGGGTTCTAATCTTGCCCGTCATTGTGGCGGGTTCTAATCTTGTGTGTGCCCGTCATTGAAGCGGGTTCTAATCTTGTGTGTGCCCGTCATTGTGGCGGGTTCTAATCTTGTGTGTGCCCGTCATTGTGGCGGGTTCTAATCTTGCTGTGTGACCGTCATTGAAGGCGGGTTCTAATCTTGTGTGTGCCCGTCATTGTGGCGGGTTCTAATCTTGCTGTGTGCCCGTCATTGTGGCGGGTTCTAATCTTGTGTGTGCCCGTCATTGTGGCGGGTTCTAATCTTGTGTGCGCTTCGATTCTGTTGTGCATGTTGGTATTATCTCTGGTGACTTAAGAGTGGTTATTTTCACGGGTTGCGTCTGCTTTTATTGGTCTCTTTATTTGGTGAAATCATGGTTTTATTTTATTGGTTCCGTCTCCTTATTTGACTTAGGGTTTTCACTTAGGGCAGAAGGCTATCTTGAAAGGGTTTATCGTGTCTTGAAAGTATCTATAGTGTCTTGAAAGTATCTATAGTTTCTTGAAAGTATCTATAGTGTCTTGATAGGGGCTTTAAGTCTTTTGAAAGGGCTCTTAGAGTCTTGAAAAGGGCTAGTTAAAAAAAGGCCTGTAGTATATTGAAAAGGTCTATAATTTCTTGGAGTGGACTATATAGTCTTCTGAAAAAAGGGCTATAGTTTCATGAAAAGATCTATAGTATCTTGAAAAATAACATTTTGTTTAAATTGCTAGTTCCTTCAAAATGGCTAATTTCTTGAAAATATACAAGTGAGTACTGTTAGCTAGCAATAAGGGGCACCATTACATAAAATAACCCCAAGTGTGGCTGTGTCGTTTTGGAGGTAATATCCGATGTTTATATTGGCCAGAGACCACTTACCAGGAGTTACTCTCAGTTGCGTGCATCACACCCGCGTGCGTTACGCCAACAGGAGTGAATAACTCAGGTATTGTGAGGCGTCTTTGTGTACTCAGCTAGTTGTGCTTGCGGGGGGGGGGGGTTGAGCTCTGGCTCTCTGGTCCCGCCTGCGTGCGTCGCTCGTCATACTGAAGAGTAAACAAGACCCCGTTGCATAAAATTAAATACCTCCGCTCCGTCAAATGGGTGATTAGGTGCAAGAAAACGCAGCCAACCGCGAACCTCTTTAGAATTCATCAACATAAAACTTTCCCCTACCCCTCTCCCCCCCTATCCCCCCTTCCCAAACAGTATAAAAAAGGAAGCAAAAGAAGTAAATACTCGAGTCACGCCTCAATGCACCCGCTCCAGAATGATCTGACGAAATAATTTTTCACGGTAATTATCAACAGATCTCATTTGCCGCCCTACAATGCCCAGTTTACCCGCTCTTGGCCGCATCTCGGTGCTCTTTTGTTTCTGGGAGTCATGCCGCCATTGTTCCCGCGCACGGGTCCGAAGGCGGCGAACAGTGAGAGAGAGAGAATATTTGGCGCGTCAAAGTTCGCAGCCTCGGTGAACCCGCAGAAAGGCAGAGAGACGCTTCATAATATCCTGTCCTATTTTGCACTATGTGTCCGTGAGAGCGAGCGAGGTGCGGCGGGAAATGTGGGCTTGTGGTTAGGATTCTAAGCGGAACATTAATTAGCTCCTTACACACACACACATACAGAAAAAAAAGGGCAGGACCAGCTACGAAAAGGATCACGTTTGTGTTGTTCCCTTTCACGCTCTCTCGATGTTCACTTGTGTGGTGTGAGGATGATGGCATGAGGAGGGGGGGGGGGGGGGCTAGTGTATAGGTCGTAAGGCTTTTTTGTTCTTATTCTGTTTGTTTATGGCACTGGTGAGGGTGAGTGAGGGGCGGGAATGAGGAGTGAGAAAGCGCCGCCAATGCCCTTGGAGGGGTTCTTGACTCGACGGCTGAAGTCCCGTCAACTCGAGTCCCCAGGGGCGTGACCTGCGGTTATTGGCAGTGCTGCGGTGGTCTCTGACTGCGGTGGTCACTGGCTGTGGTGGCCACTGGCTGTGGTGGTCACTGGCTGTGGTGGTCACTGGCTGTGGTGGTCACTGGCTGTGGTGGTCACTGGCTGTGGTGGTCACTGACTGTGGTGGTCACTGGCTGTGGTGGTCACTGGCTGTGGTGGTCACTGGCTGTGGTGGTCACTGGCTGTGGTGGTCACTGGCTGCGGTGGTCACTGGCTGTGGTGGTCACTGGCTGTGGTGGTCACTGGCTGTGGTGGTCACTGGCTGTGGTGGTCACTGGCTGTGGTGGTCACTGGCTGTGGTGGTCACTGGCTGTGGTGGTCACATCATTGACCAGTTGAATCATTAGCAGTGATGCGTCACCGTCATATATATATATATATATATACAACTTTAGAACACTTTCCCACCAGGAGACTCGAACCCTCGCCAGCACAGAAGCCTTCCAGCAACTGGCATAACAGGTACGCCTTAACCCGCTCCACCACCTGCTCAGACCCTTAAAAGAGATGGTAATTTCGGAGTATTTATATACCCCCAAAGATCACCACCTCCCAAGAGCACTAGAGCAAGTGAGGGGTCATTTATACGTTTATTTCATCAAGTCCCTGTTAATATGGGAAGAACACTGTGTCTATGCTTAAGGCACAACTCTCCTAAACACGAGAGTGAAGTATACAACTTTAGAACACTTTCCCACCAGGAGACTCGAACCCTCGCCAGCACAGAAGCCTTCCAGCAACTGGCATAACAGGTACGCCTTAACCCGCTCCACCACCTGCTCAGACCCTTAAAATATGGATCGGGTTAAGGCGTACCTGTTATGCCAGTTGCTGGAAGGCTTCTCTTCCAGCAACAAGCCACTCTTCCAGTCAGACTCGGTGGCCTTGGTGTCTGCACTGCCACTCAAATTGCTGTTCAAGTCTTCGTTCCTTCCTTCTTGGGATCAGATGACTCGGTCAAGGAAATGCTACCAGACAGTTTAGGTGACTTTATTGACCCCTACAAATTGTGCAATGTGCAAATTGCATCACAAAATGTGATATCTTGGCAGCCAAAGCACTCAGACCAGCCCAACCAAAAGCCAACACTCACTCCAACTAGGACAGCCACTTCGTGGACAAAGAAGCTACAGCTTTGCTGGAACAATATCCAACGATCGTGCTCACCTGAAAGCTATCCCATGCTCCCTATGCAGGGGATTTCCTTTTGACAGTCACTATGTCGGCGACAGTTACACGTCTTGAACTGCAGCAGCTCTACATTGCGGTTGCCCTACTTTCTGCCCCCAATCCAAACTGTGTGCCAGTGTATTTGCAGCACTGTAACTGCAGACGAATGTGGATTGCATGGCCTACACTATAGATATTCCAAGCGATGACACAAACCATGACGAGGTCAGTGACATCATTAGGAGGAGCTTTACCTCTGCCCAGTGTCCAGCAGAGAGAGAGCCTCGTATTCCATTGCCCTTTAATTCTACTGCCTTTGTTGGTCGGCCAGATGACGTCACATTATGCCTACAGAGGAATGGCAGACAGCTAACGTGGGACAATATTCGTGTATCCTGCTTATAGCCACACACATTACCCTCTCTGTTGGTCAAGTAGGAGCTGCTGCTGCTACACACACAGGAAAAAACTGGTACTGGAGCTGACAGTGAATAAAGAGAAGCAAGTAGAGTCAAAGAGAACAGCAAAATACCTCGATAAGAGGAAAACTGCTGAAGATTACTCACCGTTTGTGCCTGGAGACGATTTAAGGTAATTCGAGCACCAAGTGACTTTGAGCGGTGGTCTGAGGGCAGAAACAGGTAGTGTAACCAGATCACGTAGTAACATAGATAAATTAGTCATGGAGAAAGATAATAGGATTGCAGAAGTTGTGCAGCGAGGGAATGTGAGGAGAAAATTAAAGAATGGGTGGAAAAACCTTCGTGGGACAGCAAAACATATTGGGCAGGGAAAGGGAGGACGAGATGGGGAAAAAGAAACATAGACTTCAGACCATCAATACAAAGGAAAGAAAAAAGTAATAGGAATACAAATTAAAAAGACTGGAAAATAAAGTAGGAAGACTTGAAAGGGAAGTAGACAGTGCGAGGATGGGGAGATTAGGATAAATAAACTAAGAAACAAATGTGAAAATATGTCATAAATGCGAGAATAAAGGAGACAACATTAGGATCATTGAAATGAACAAGAAAAAAATAGCAGATCTAGAAACTATTAGGAACCACACCGTCAAGGGATGAAAAATGAGGTACACGAAATGAATAATAATCTATTGAATATAGAAACACTTCAGTTGGAGAGTTGTTGTTATAGATTCAGCTACTTTTTTTTCTTTTGAGATATATACAAGAGTTGTTACATTCTTGTACAGCCACTAGTACGCGTAGCGTTTCGGGCAGGTCCCTGGAATACGTTCCCCGCCGCGAAGAATCGTTTTTTCATCCAAGTACACATTTTACTGTTGCGTTAAACAGAGGCTACAGTTAAGGAATTGCGCCCAGTAAATCCTCCCCGGCCAGGATACGAACCCATGACATAGCGCTCGCGGAACGCCAGGCGAGTGTCTTACCACTACACCACGGAGACTGTGAGCAAGTAACTCACTACTTGGAACAAGTAGCACGGGCTATGGTGAGCCCGTAACTTACCTGGCGCAGGAGCGGTGCTGTGAGGTGAGTTGGAGAGTTTAGATATGAAATATATTACATGTTCGCACCTCTCCGTGACAGGTGAGTACCACGGGCTCACCATAGCCCGTTCCGAGTAGCTGAATCTAAAACACCCAACATTAAAAGTTTAACTGCTGAATTACCAATGTCTGAAATGGATCTAACACACTGTACTTGTGCAAAAGTTCACGTTGATGAATTTGTCCAAAAGTTCACGTGGATGAACTTGTTCAAAAGTTCACGTGAACGAGATAATTCGAGTGAATAGCATATGGAGACACACGGGATTAGCATTAGTTAGGGGAAAACACTGACCTTTGATCAACATGTCTTCTAACTATCCACGATCACTCAACCTCTACCACCCATTCTCCACCCCGGCCCTTTACCTACCTATTCATCTACCTTGACACCCCTACCCGCATATTTACGGGCTATTCATGCCCGTGCCACTTCTTGGGTGGCTTAATCTTCATCAATCGACCCGCATATCATCGCTTTAGCTCTCCACAGTTATCCGTCTCTAAGCTCCTCTGTGGCTCTCAGCCTCTATCTTCCTCTCTAGGCCTCTTTTTGCCCTTTTTTTTGTTCCCCTGCATCCCCTTCCTTCTGTCTCACAGCCTAATAGTCCTTTTCCACCGTTCCAGCTCTGTCTCCTTCCCGTCTTCCCATCTCACGCAATACAGCTTCCATGCAGCACCACGCCCTTGTAAACAAATAATGGGGACGTGAACAAATCCACAAGGGCCGTGACGCAGGTTCGAACCCTCGTCACGGCCCCTTGCGTGGATTTGTTCATTTGATGCATCTCGCTATTGTGTGATTTGTGTGTGTAATGTAGACATTTCACTTTTAATAGCTTTATTGTATTTTTATTGCTATTATTTTACTTTAATGGCTATTATTTTACTGTTACTAGTATAACTTTTTTACGTTTATAGTTGTTATTTTACTTTTATGGCTATTATTTTACTTGTATTAGATATTATTGTACTTTTATATCTAACTTTTTATAGCTGTTATCTTACTTTTATCATTTGCAGGATAAATGCAATCTTGTAATGCAGTGTGATAAATATTTAATTAAACAAATCGCCGTCTTTTTTTTTTAGAGGAAATAAACAAGAGAGAAACAAGCAAAGATAACCAATCCTAGGCCTATATATAATATATATATATATATATATATATATATATATATATATATATATATATATATAAGCTCTCAATCCGGCGTAAGATTGCACACGTTGAGCCCAGGCTTGTTTATTTAGGCCTAGGTTAGGGCTCTATGTGTTGCTATTTGCAACTATTAGCAACTCAGTGTTGTCATTTG